GCTGAGTTCTAATCTAATTACATTAACCGCGGTTCAACCGTTTTCTTAACTCAGGGTGTAGCAGGATCTTCCATCCAGGACTGACAACAGTCAGAACCATTGTTTCCCAGCATTATTCTAACATTTATAACAAATCTTCACCTGATAAACCACCAGAGCTGCTGCACTCTGTGAACGAGGGCCTGCGTGTGTTAACAGCAGATGTCAGTAATGCCTCACAGTGGACCAATAGGATCTGACCTCTCTCAGAGATACATGCCGTAAGCATTTATCAGAGATTGCAGGAGATTATGCTAAATCAGATTACTGTACACCAACCTGCCTATAAAAAGCAAGGTCATTATGAGCTTAGCCTCGTGTAATGTCACTCGTTTTATGAAATGTATGAGATCATATTAGGCAATATTTGTGCTGCTATTTTGCCTCTTTTTCTAATCTGATTTCTCCTCTGATCTCTCGCTAATGCCGTGTGATAGTGCTACTTACAGACTCTGCTCTGCTGACGGCGAGCGCTGGTTTGTCTTTCTTTGTATATGAACAGTTGTGGTTCATGGCTCGTGTCCGTGAATTAAATGTATGTTGTATGCAGACACATAATTTGCAGCTTTATCAACAGATACTTATGCAACACACTCAGTACATTTAGACAAACCTCTTTGCATAACGGTAACGTTCAGAGTTTTTATGGACTGATGTGTCCGTCATCATCACACAGTTTTTTAAAAATGATCAAACGTTTATTACTTAACAAAATAAAAACCATCCCAGTGATCCACACACGTTATCGTCTCCTCTTTATTGTGACTAAATCAGATTTTAATGCTTTACCCTCACATCCAGGTGTGGACGGCTCTCTCCTCACCAGAAGACTGAGTGCAGACAGCAGGCTTTCTCCCCTGGGTGCTCTGCTAAAGAAGCTTCACAACACATATATGCAGACAGGCAGGGGTGTATCCAGGGGCAACTAAATCTCAGCAGCAGTAACTTGGGGCAGATGAGTCCCAGTGGAAACAAACACCCAGAACACTATCTGATAACCTGCTATGTCCACGTAACACTGTGTTTTAAAATAAAGTATATAACCCATAACTATAATGACTTTTTTTAAACAAATCAACTCCTCGTGTACCTTTAAACATGAGTGAATGACTTGTGGACGGTTGTAGCTTATATACAGTCACACCACCTGTACTCTGACAGGCTCTTCTCACAGGTGCACTAATGTGTGCTAACAGAGCAGCAGAACCACACGGGTCAGCTGTCCAGTTCCCTCCTACAGCTTTAAGGTGTACAGAAGTGGGAGGGACACAGGTACGCCCAGGTGGAAATTCTTCTTACTGAGGCAGAGAGCACATTTACTGATAGCTTTAACTGGCATGTTTTTTTTGGGTTCAGTCATTATTATTTCTCCCTCATCACTACATTCAAAGAAATACTTGTGTGCGTATAATATATATTGACAAATAGATGATGATGTCTGCTGACTTCTGCCCGTCCTTGGTGCCTGCCTCGGCCAGGACGTGCTCGCAGAGGTGACTCTTCATCTCAATGAGGCTTTTCCTGGGTAAATAAATAAATGCGTGTTAAAGTGTGACTGTAAAACAGACAACACCCAGCAGGTCTGATACAAACAGACAGGAGCAGCACTCTCTCAGGAGTGCTCTCCTCTCAAACCCAAGCCGATGATGCTGTTGTCTTCCCCCATCGGACCGAGCCCGCGAACACTTTGTTGTCTCAGAGGACGGCAAAGTGTTCCACGTCTCCAAGTAACGGCTTAACCCGCGGAGCATTAACCCCTCCTCTGAGCACTCTACCTAGACTACTGGTGATAATGATCAAGCGGCGACGGTCCACCCACAAAACACTCAGCACGGGAAACGAATCCCAAACGATTTCTCAGCTCGAAGTAGAGCCCAGGGCATGAAATATGGCAAAGGTAGTATACAAGCAATAGGGTCTGTCAACAAAGTTTACCAGCAACAGCTTTGATCTAATAGCTGTTGACAGATTAAATAGTGAAATATGTTATAAATGGATCGCTGCAAGTTATTTGACATAAATAACTTTTGATATGTAGTTTTGGTGATTAAACTACAGGTCAGTTATACAGGCAGCACATGTCTGCTGGTCGCCATGCAGCACTTTGGTCTGTTTTTGAGCTCCAGCCAAAGTCCAACGTTCTTTAATTTGCAAGTATTTTCTTATCATAGAAGCACAAAGCCCCGTTCAGCCATGTGTCCAGTTTAATAAGACACTGAACTGGGATTTTATCATGTCCAGGGTGTCAGATGAGATCATGTTAATGAAACCTGTGAGTATACAACAGTCCTTCCTGCTATTGTTTTTGTGTTAAAGCGTTATTATTATGAGTGAAAGCAGCCCTGGACCAGCTGTGAGGCCAGTGGGCCAACCTGTGGCATCGCTAATGTTTGGGACGCTTTCTTTAACTTTGTATTTCCACCTCTCAGAAGGCAGAAGCTTGAATCTACAGCCATTTATCTACTAAACTTAGCTTCTGTTTTTACCAATATAACAGTTATTGATAACAATTTGAACCAGTTATTTTGCATTAAAACACTGTTTAATTCATCATTTTAGCTAACCTTTAGCTATCAAACAAATACTAATAAACTAATAATAAACAAAACATTATTTTTAAATTAAAGTGTTCATTTGGGGACCATTTCTTTTAGCTTCTATTTTTAAAAAAAATAAAATAAAAAACATTTACAAAATTGTGGCGTTAATTTTTTTTAGTGAGCTGACATAATACATAAATATAAATATAAATAGAACTGACATGTTTGTTTTCGTTGCTCTACCATTATTATTTTCATGCACCACGTCGTCTCTGGTTGTAAATCAGTGTCGTCGCTCACTTTGCCTCACATTTGATGAGACTCTTTAAACGAACGCGGATTAACAGCTGCTGTCCGGGCAGGTAACCGCCGTCTAGGTGTGCTGCTGGCCTTACCAAAGATGGCAGTATTTCCTGATCTTGTCGGAGTGGTCGCCGACCCTTCGCCGTGCGTTGTGACGCTGCCGTAACGTGGGGTTTCCCAGACCTGAATGCAGGGTTACCGCGCCCATCTCTGCTGTTTGATGGCCGGAGGAAGAAGCGACTGAGATCCTGGCGTGAAGGAAGAGAAAAAAAAAAAAAAAAAAAAGAGGGACGACGACGGTGGGAAAGACAAGAAGGGATTTTTTTTTTTGCTTTGAGTTGGAATTCGCGTTGAGACGGAGGAACGCTCGAACGGGACTCTGACACGTCTAGTCTGGCTGAACAGCGCCTCGTCTCTGCGCCTCTGTGCCGGTGTGTCTCCCCCCTCGGCGGGTCAAAAAACTGGGTTCGGGGAGTGCCGCTCCTCGGTGGCTAAACTAGCTAAATCTGAGCGCCTGGGCGGAGAGAGGAGAGTCAAGATTTCGTCGTTTCCAGTCAATGTGATATAAACAACGGATACCCTCGACTGAAAGCGGGTAAGGACGCGTATTGAGATTTGAAATTGCGCTTCAGGAAATGCATTAAGTGTCTGTGCAGTCGGCTAGCCCTGTCGAGCAGCGAAGACGAGCGAAAAGGGTTAAACTGGGTTGAGTGGCTCCTCTGTTACAGTTAGCCGCTGTTAGCCTGCCGCTAGCTAGGCGCTGCTGCCAAGACGGTGGGTGGTGGGGGGTTGGGGGGGTCACTGTTACAGAAACCCAAAAGCACTGCTGCGTTCACCTCAATCAGAACCACAGTTATATGTAATTGTTCCGTCCGGCAGGGTGGGGGTTAAAGGCCAGTGCTAATTAGCAGGTTAGTTTGTGACAGTTCGGTAGGTTAGCTAGCACCCCCTCTCCAACGTCCGGGTGTCTTTCTCCCTCTCTAGAAATATTGCGTTAAACTCCTTCAGCTCTGCTTGGCCAGTCCATTTAATCTGGAGTGCATTAAAACCATATTTATTTCTATTATCGCCAGCATTTTAGAGCTGCCTGTTTGTCGGCCCACATTTTTTTTCCCCCCTCAAGAATTTGCTCGCTAGATAGCTACATGGTGGTAAGCTAATTGGTCGCATATTTGCTATGCTCAGATTACTGTTGACTAACCCCTAGAGGAGCTGTTGGAAAATAAAATCACTTGGTAGCAACTTCTTAAACTTGCATAACTGAAAGGAAGAAGAAGAAAAAACGTGAACAGAGTTTTTGGATTGACTTCCCCTCGTATTGCAGATTTGTAGCATCATGGAATTGACAACGAAGGGAGTCTAAAAATGGCTACTTCGCCAACAGAGTCGCTACCACCCCCACTATTCCGTAGCCAGTCCGTACAAGTTAGCCAGCGGTGGCCACAGCCTACGTTTGCAGCCTGGTTCACTGGATCTGGGTGTGTGTGGTAGTCAGAACAACACGGCTCTATCTGGAGTGAACAGTGGTTTTGATGTGTAACTCATGCACGTTAATATGTCGGTGAATTGTTTCGGTAATGCCCGGGCGAGCTGTGTTTAAACCGGCTTGTTGAAGCATTAGCATCAGATTCAATGAATCGAAACCATCACAGATTAAGGCCACAGCTATATGTTCCCACGTTTAGTCTGTAGAGCCATCCACCCACTGGGGTATTAGAAAGGAAAGGCCCAATTCGTTCGTGTGTTTTTTCCCCTTAAATAATACAAATTTGCATCGATTACTAAGTGAAAGCAAAGCTGCAATTATGGCGAGGAAAAAAAAAAGACAAGCTGTGGAAAAAAACATTTTAGTGTCATGAGTGCCAAACCAGCACCGAACACACGGTTCGACCTTAATCTGAACTTCTTGTTTTAATGATACGACAACGAGATTGTGTAATTGGATTCTAACAATCTGTTTATCTCGATCACCGGGCTGTTGCGGGGCAAGTTGTTAGCGGCTACATGCCCCACCGGGCCGCGCTGCTCCACACTGGCTCAAGCCCGGAAAAAAGGCACGCTTTATGCTCTCCAATCCTCGTCTTTACACCGTCATAATGTGTTACAGAAGAGTGAAAGAGATCGATGTGTTTTTTATTTAGTGGTAAATATTTCTCAACATGGTTTACGGGCGATGTGCTGTCGCAGGAAGCCGCGCTGAGCGCCTCTTCCAGCGCCGAGGCGGATCTGAGCAGCCGCCGCGTTCACCAACTTGTCCGCCAGCAGTGTCGAGACACTACGTTTGAAGTACCCACTACTGCATATGCTCGGTTTCTAGTTGTTTCGGGGGGAATTCTGTGTTTCCTAAACGAGCTAGTCGTATTTAGTGGCTTCACAAAGATGAATTCATTTCGCCAGTGTGCCCCCTCCCTCCGCCGCTCCGAATGAATGGGTTCCTGTATTCAGGGCCCAAGCAGCTGCAATGAACAAGATGGCGTTCAAAGCCTTTTTCATCACCGCTTTTTCTCAGACACAGAGAGGCAGCTGCCGAGCATCGGATGGGCTCAGGCTTGGCAAGCTACATATCTTTGATTACCTTTATCCTACAAATGTACAGAATGTGTTTGCGATGAAGCGTTTTGGGGCTGATAGAGTCACTGGTCAGATTAATCCAGTGTGTGCACCTCATACAGGACAACATGGTGGGGAAGGGCTGCTGTACATCTCCACTGTGAACACCAGCGAACATGGCAACTACTGTACATACTTTTAGGATTTGTAAGAAATACCTGTTTGATATTAAACCTAATGAAATATACGAACCACATCTCAGGAATATAGGGGACGTGTTTTTCTAAATCGGGACAAGCAGGAGCAATTAAAAACCAGATTAAAACAGATTTACAGAGAAATCTAGGGATAGCAGTTCTGCAGGTTTTAAGGACAGTTTTCTCCACAACCATTTCATTTAAATAAATCTGTGCTGAAGCCTCTGTGTGGAAACAAGTCATGTATGACAGGCTGTCTGAAAGCCTTCATGGCATCGTCTGAGGCCCGGTTTGTGCACAGCAGAGCCTGTCAGTGGGATGAGTGTCACTTTAAGATAATGACCATGTGTTTGAAACCTGAATAATTATCCTTTTGCACTGGGAGGGGGTCTTTGTTATTAAACAAGGATTGTCATCCGTTGATGTGTATTTTTTTTTCTTTTTTAATCTGCAAGTGCAGGATATGAATAGGATTAAATTCTTAGTGTGTGGATTTCACTCTGTGGGATTATATGGCTTCAGTCAGTGATAGTGCTGATTTTTCATCACCTCTGACACGATTCTCCTTTTAACTGTACGTCTACTGTAAGGAGCAGACGGGTCCAGAGAGGCTTTGCATACTGGCACCCAAAGAGAAAGAAATATAACTGAAGAAACAAGGCGAATAAGAGTTAAAGTACATGCATATTTGAGTTTTACATACATTGCAATAGTTTAGTAGTTGCAGCCCTGAGATATATCTGTGACGGTCCCGAGCTGCTCCTAGAGGACAGCACATATTTATGTCAACATGTCTGGTTGGTCATTTACAATGTAAGGTAGTATGCTCGTTTCACAGCCAGACGACCTTCCATGACTGACCGTTTTCTTTGGTCGGTGACCTTTGTCCATTAAAACGTCTGACTTTTAACTGTGCATTACCTGCGTCATGTCTTTTGACAGTTTAAAAGAAAGAGTACAATGTGTGCTGTGCCTATTAACATTGGAAAAACCAGATGTGAACATCTTGCTTCTTTTTCTAGCAGATGAGTACAATGACTGGGTTTTTTTCTCTTTATGTGCAATATTGGATGATGTAGCTTCAGCTGATGAGCTTTATTGTTACAGGTTTCTGGCAATGACACACCCACCCTACTCTTTGTAGTAGTTTACTTTTGAGCTCTGTGGCTAAATGTGCTGGAAGTAGCCAAAGTACCACCATACCTATCATGTCAGGTTACATCCCTGTACTTTATGCACATAACGTCTTTGCATTTAAGGTTATTTTAGATTTTTTTGCACTTTAAAAAAAATATTGAAAGAAAACTGTCCTTGTTCAATCCAAGTTAGATGATATTGTGCCTGTGCGACTACAAAAGCATTTTCCAACATTTTTTAGTCACCTTAATGTGTGTGTTACCACAAAAACACACCGTTGTGCCTCCAGGTAGGCCGCCACAATAAGAAGAGATCACAGGGTGTAAGTATAGTGTAATGAAAAGGTCTGCTTCTGTAATGTTGTTCACATGCACATAGTTCTGTAATTAAGAACAGAACTGACAAATTGCATCTAAACATTAACCCAAAAATGTGCATATTCATCATTTTTTACAAGATTATGCCCCTTAAGTTGCTGTGGTTTTGGTTTGTTTTTTTTCTTTCTATACCACAAGTATATCAAACTATGACCCCACAACTGTAAGTTCCTATTAAACTCTAAAATTCACATGAAGTAAAACAAAAAATGCTGTATTTTAACGTTCCAAGACCTGCCTTGTCTGGCCAATGTGGTCCTACAAATTGCTTACTCTAAACTGCCTCATGCAGCTTAAAACCAAACCAGAGATGCAGAGAGTTGGAGGCCACCGTAGTCATCTGATTAATTTTAAAACATTTTAAAAGGTCTACTGTAGACCTTTTCGTTGGGGAAAACTGATGACATTTCACTAGTGTAGAGCTGATGAACGATTAATGGCTGCATCATGATTCCCCAAAGTATATTTGAAAGTTCTCCCCCTCCTTACCAGTGAGACTCTTGTCCTGGAACTCCACTGTTTGGACTGCAGCTGGTGATGTTGGTCATTGTTCTGCTCTCTGGTACCCATTTTCCACCAAACTGGGTCCAGTGCCAGTGCCTGACTTCGCACCAGTTCTGTGTGTTTCCACCACCAGGTTCTCAAAACTGGTGCTTTTCAGGCACCAACTCTTTGCTGGGCCAGAGCTCAGCACCGTCAGGGGCTGGGGGCGGGTTATCGTGACCACCAAGACCGATGGATGGATGGGACACACAAGCAGTGATTTGTGTCGTTTTTCACCAGGTCCGATCACAGATGTACTGGAATGAGTCTAGGGGCACACGGAAGTTCTGCACAAACTGTTGCACTGAAATCCGGTCCAACTGTGTCCAACCAGCAGCACCACAGTGGTGGAAAACAGTTCTTTTCTAACTTTGGTGTGCTGCAGTATTTACGCTTAGAAATGAGGTCTTCTTGTGAAAAACTGAGCGCAGCTACATGCTGTTTATTCCGTCATAGAAAAGACTGCACGAGAAAAAACCACTGGGTTTCATCTTGGACCAATCTGATATCAGAACGTCCTGGTTTACTGTTAAAGTCATCTTTGGTCTCACACTGGTCTGAGCACCGCGGCACCAACAGCAGCTACCCAGCCTGCTATGTGGGGAGTTCAGGGAACATCGTAAATTGTAGCGTCTATCGATAAGAAAATGTTCAACAAGTCGTATGTTTTTCCTGTGACGAGGTGGGAAGTGCGACCAAATGAGAAAGTTGGTCGCACCGTTAAAAAAGTCAGTCTGGAGTCCTGTGTGGACCTCCATGTGGCGGCAGCGTTGTTCGGTAAACGGCTCCGT